AACGAGGGCCACGAAGGGCAGCGAGCGGGACCGCGAAGGGCAAGTGGCCACGAAGGGCAGCAACGAGGGCCACGAAGGGCAGCGAGCGGGGCCACGAAGGGCAGCAACGGGGGCCACGAAGGGCAGCGAGCGGGGCCATGAAGGGCAAGGGGCCACGAAGGGCAGCAACGGGGGCCACGAAGGGCAGCGAGCGGGGCCACGAGGAACAAGGGGCTGCAAAGGGCAGATAGTGGGCAACACAGGGCAGCGACGGGGCGTCCTGGGTGCGAGCGTCTTTCCTGAGCGCCGGGAACGCGATTCTGAAACAAATTGCAAGGAATTCCCGAGCGAGAGCGCCAGGCCGGAGTAAATCGTGAAGAAGTCTCACGCGGGAGCGGGGGGTCCTGACTAAATTGTGAGGAAGTCTCAAGCGGGAGCGCCGTTCGGGAGTAAATGTTGATGAAGTCTCAGCCGGGAGTGGGGGTCCTTAGTAAATTGTGAGGAAGTCTCAGGCGGGAGCCGTTGTTGTTGTAGCCCGGGGCCCAACAACGCAATCTGATCCGGAAGGCTTTCCCTGACATAAATAGGGTCCGAGCCCCGGAGGAAACGCTTCAATTGGAAAAAAAACAATGGGCACTGGACAGGGGGGATCAACAATCATTATTCTTCAGAAATGAGAATTCAACAACAACAACAACAATAACATCAACAACAATAACAACAACATCAACATCAACTCTGGAACTGCGCAAAACCGGAACCTAGGGCGATGCACTGCGTCCCCCACTGGCCTGCGATCCGTTGTTTCGGCCAGACCAACTCAACAACACGGTGGGAGCTCTGGCATCCGTGCACGTGTTCAGGCAAGATCTCAGGAATGTTGTTAGGACTGAGGGCTAAGGCTATGCATTTTTTCCAGCGCAATGTTGGAGGAGAAGGAGGAAAGCTGAGGGGACGATCGAGACGCAGCACCCTCATGCACCACTAGTAGTCAGTAGCAAAAGCGCGGCTGATCCGAGGAGATGTTGACGCGGCCTGGCCAAAATAGCCCTGGCGGCCAACATGGCGAATCCATCACCCCGCCAGCATGTAGAGAGGGGCGAGAGGAGGAGGAGGAGGAGGAGGAGGAGGAGGAGGAGGACGAGGAGGACGAGGACGAGGACGAGGAATACCGCGGCCAACTCGGTTGGACAATCCGTGGCAGAATGCATCCCACAGTGGCGAACTGCGTCAAATCAAATGTTAGGCTGCACCTCAAAATCAACGACTCTGGCCCGCAAATGGCAACCGGAAGAAGAGGAGGAGGAGGAAGTGGGGAGCATCATCGACCCGGAAACGATATTGAAACGAAAGGGTCGAGCCTGCGAGGTGGCCCCAACCACGACGCCAAGCCAAACGGCAACGGAAGGTATAATAGGAAATCGCGACCAGCGAGAAATGAACTGCAATAAATAAAGTTACCGCGTCAAGAAACCTATCGAGAGCGAGGAGGAGGAGGAGGAGGCGGGGGAGAAAAAGGAAGACTGCGCGCACCCACGGAGCGCTCCATGGCAGGAGGGACCTAAACGGCCTCGAAGTCCCCACCTGTCCAACAGGTCCCGGCCCGCCAGTGACTCAAAGGGGGAGGTCCCCTGCACGCAGCGTCGACTACCCGCCCTCCGCGGTCAAGATCTGGAGCTCCGAGTGGCTCAATTCGGGGGGGAACGACGACGAGACAGGCAGAGGAGAGAGAAGGCCGGCCAACCCCAGCAGGGCTAGCCAGCTTTCCGCCTCCGGGAGGAAAGGTAGGGAGGAAAGAGACGAGGGGGGAGGAGTGCGAGCCGTTCTCGACGGACTCGGCGGATTCCGAATGCAGTGTGCGAAGTTGTAACCAACTCCGATGGATAAATCCTCTGGCCAACCCTCCGCGCCGCGGAATCGACATGCCACGGGCTCGGCGCGTCATGGCCGCAGCGGGGTGGCCCACGAACGGCCCCGAGACCCTTCAGTCAAGCGCTGCGGCCGCGACGTCAGGGAGGGAGGAGAAAGAGGAGGAGGAGGAAGAGCGGGAGGGGGAAAAGGAAGAGGGGACGGCGTCGGCCCAGGGCTGAATAGCACGAGATTCCGCCCCGAACAAGGTACGCAGATTTGACTCTGGCATTGTGCGCTAACGGCCACGCGGCCGGGACAACAACAAAGACGAAACCAGACCCTGGAGTTTCGGCCGCGCTCGCGAGACAGGGCGCGCGGGCGGGCAGCGCGGACCTGTCGGCGCGCTCCGCCTGACGCGCTGCGCGATCCAATTCGGGCACACAATGAGGGAGGAAGGGGGCGAGGGAGGGAGGGAGGAAGGAGAAGGAGAGGGAGATGGGGGATCAATGATACTGTCGCCGAGCGCCTTGCTGGCGCCACCCCGTCCTTGGGCCTGATCCTGGGCCCAGGCGCAGGGGACGCTTCCTGGACGGCCCCGCTGGCCAAGATGCTGGACCGCACACAGCTCTGGGGGGCCCTCGGCCCTGGAATTTTTCACACTTGCGAGGCCTTCCGGGTGTTCGTGGCGTCTGTCGTCATGTTCGTGGCGCAGCTCCGCCCCTTGCCATCTACGTTCGCGGCTGCGGAGGCCAGAGCCTGCGCCAAGCTGTTTCCTGGCCCCGGTGCATGGGCGACGCCGAAGTTCCGACTCAGCTCAGATCTCTCGGCTTCCCCTGCGAGCTGATGGACATCCGGTGCGCGTCGATCGCCGCCCAGGCTCGGGTCTGCCACTACGAGGACGCCCAACAGGGCGGCTTGCAGGTGCGGCGGCGGGCGCGACAACTTCGGCATCGCATGCAGTGCACTCTTCGCGAGTTTCTGCCGGTCCCCGTCGAGCGGTGGCTCGAGTCGAACACGATCTTCGTGCTCGAGGCCGCAGAGGAAAGAGTGCACAAGCTCGAGCTGGCGCAGAACCTCCCCTGCACACGAGCGGCGACGCAGGACGCCCGGCAGCAGATGAAGGCAACGTGGCAGGCCGCGCGCCACAAAGCCCTCCTGGCTGGCCGCCCGCAAGCCCCAGTTGCTCCATTCCTGCGCCGTCGCCGGGATCACTGGGACATTGACGTGGTTCCAGGGGCGCGGGTTCAGCGATTTCGGTCGCACATGTCAACACCAACCATTTGTTACACAAGTGCTACTGCTGATCCGCTCCAGTATCGGCTGCTAGCCAATGCTCGCCCTTGCTAGCTGGGGGTTCCCCAAGCAACGGGTGTTAAGGCCAGCTCGCAGTCCTGGCAAGTTGGTCAGATATCCTCGCCCAATGCCTCATCCTTCTCCCTCATCTCCTCCGCTACATCTACATCCTCTTCCCTTTCCATCATCCTCAACATCATCGTCACCATGACTATCACCATGACTATCACGATCACCCATCATCACCATCAGCATCATCATCATCAGAATCATCATCATCATCAGCATCATCACCATCAGCAAAAACAACAGCATCATCATCAACATCATCATCCTCGTCATCGTCATTGTCATCGTCAACGTAATCGTAATTGCCATCGTCATCGGCATCGTCATCGTCATCATCATCATCATCAGCATCATCACACGCATTGTCAGTATTAGCATGAGCATCAGCAACATCGTCACCACCACGATCATCACTGGCATCATCATCACCATCATCAGCAACATCAGCATCATCATCACCATCACCATCATCATCACCATCATCGTCAGCATCATCATCATCCCAAATACCACCATCATAATTATCATCAACAGCATCCGCATCATCATGATCATGACCATGATCATGATCGTGATGCTCATCGTCATCATCATCACCAGCAGCATCATCATCATCATCAAGCTCATCCTCATCCTCATCAGCATCATCATCATCCTCGGCGCTCCCCGCCTTGGGGCTGGCATCCGCCGCCTCCTCCTCCTCCTCCTCCGCAGCAGCAGCAGCCTCTTCTGGCTCCTCCGTGCCATCTGCCTGCTCCTCCATTTGCTGCTGCTCATCCACTACCTCCGACCGATCCTCCTCCTCCTCCTCCTCCTCCTCCTCCTCCTCCTCCTCCTCCTCCTCATCATCATCATCCTCATCCTCCTCCTCCTCCTCATCCTCCTCCTCCTCCTCCTCCTCCTCCTCCTCCTCCTCCTCCTTCTCCTCCTCATCCTCATCCTCATCATCTCATCCTCATCCTCATCCTCATCCTCATCCTCATCCTCATCCTCATCATCATCATCATCATCATCATCATCATCATCATCATCATCATCATCATCCTTCTCGTCGCTTTCCGCCCTAGGGCTGCCCTCTGCCTCCCTCCTCCACTCCTCTTTCTGCTGCTCCAAGGTCCTCGCCGGGGAGCTCCCGCGCGCCCACCAGGGCACGGCGCGAGGGGCCGCAGAATCGGCAAGGAGGCGCGATGCCACCACTGGGGCAAGACGGCAACCATACGCCTGCACCGATCTTGGCCGCACTGGGCCCTGGATTTTGGACGCCCGAAATGGGTACGGAAAAAATGTGTACGACGCCGAACAGCAGCTGTTGTCCGAAACCGACAGCGGCCGTTATTGGGCAGGCGAACTTGCGTCTCGAATGGACAACGAACGCGGCGACGCCGACATCGAATCCTGTTCAGAATGGGCAAGAACTTCTGTTGCACTTCGAAAACAACTGTTTCAATGCTAATGTCGGTCCCCCTGATGGATCGGTTCTCCCCTGGCTTGGCCAGAGGACAGCAACACCGACTCTTGGCTCAAGGTGAGCACATGCAAGATATGTGTATTCGGCAAATGAGCCCTGCTCCTGAAGACCAGGTTCCTGAAAAACTGGTTCGGGCTCATGAATCGGAGGACGCCTGGAGGGAAGGGAATCACGGCGGGGGTGCCCGATACCCCTGCGTCGACTCGAACAGGGGGAGGGTTCGCAACTAGTCTCAACATGGTAGGCGCTATCCGACACCGGAAAAGCGAAAACGATCAGCCGCCCGGGCCCGGTGTCAGGGCCACGGGTCAGGCCGCGCGGGGGGGATCCGTCGGCGCTCCTTCGGCTTGATCGGCCTGCAATCCACGATGCAGGGACCCTGTTCGCCGCTGCGGGGGAGCGGCGCGCGAGGCCGAGGCCCCGCACCGCTGGGGGGGCTCAACGCGCCGGCTGGCCCCGGACCTCCTCCTCCTCCTCCTCCTCTTCCTCCTCATCCTCCTTTTCTTCCTCCTCCTCTTCCTCCTCCTCCTCCTCTTCCTCCTCTTCCTGCTCCTCCGCCTCCTCCTCCGACGACGACGAGTCCCACTCTAACAGTGCACCCCCTGTGGTCGGCGCCGAGAGCTCGACGAAGGAGGCGTACGAGTCCACAGCGAGCCAGAGACAGCAGCGCGCTGCGCTAGAACCCCCTCCCCCACCGTAGACTCCGTCAAGCGCCGCCGCTTTGGGGGCCAAGGACGCAGAACTGGGTCATATCGACGGGAACCTGGCAGTGATGATAGCGACTGCGACCTCGGTTGGGGCTGGGACACTGCACCCACTCATTCACTGGATTGGCGCCGATGTCTGACTTAGCATTGCTACGCAACAAAAATCAAGCTCGAATATGTTACCTTCAATCGGGGAGATGTCCCTGCTTCGTAGCGGTCACAATCCTTCCGCTCGATGTGGAGGTTTCGCAGCCGACGGGCCCGATAGGGGCCAAGCCTGAGATCCACGACCTCTGAAGTGTAGAGAGGTCGAGAGGGTAACACCAGAAAGCAGCCCGTGGCTGCTAAAAACATCGTGCAAGCCCGCAGATCAAAGACAGGGGGGGAAAGGCAGCCCTGTTCATTCGCCAAGCTGCTTACTGCAAGAGCTGCCCCACGCACTCCTGGAACTTCCCCTGCATGTGCGTGGCTCGGATACGCCCGAACTTGCGTTTGGCCAAAGTCAACTTCAGCGCCGCCGCGAGGTAATTCCTGAACTGCGGGTCCCGCGCCGAAAGCCCCGCATGGCGATCACGTTGATCTCCAAGGTCATGCGCAGAAGCGCACAATGAAAAGTTCGTGTGCCACGATGCAATTGAAACGCCGACTGCGGATATCATGTCGCCAGCCGTGCATTCATAAGTGTTTGTGCGATAGCTGACATGTGCAGTATGGCCGACTGGAGTGACGCGTCTGGGGCGTGATCTTTCTGCCAATGGTCCGCGCGCCCTCGCCCGCCTCCTTTGGCCGCGCCCTCGGCCCCCTTCGCGCCTGCAGACGCGCGAGCCAACGGGCTGTTGCACGCGCCCCCTAACTCTTTGACCGTCGGGTGGCTGCGCAATTCGCGCCACGTCGCCCACTCCCCCTGCCATTGCTGGCGGGCGCCGCCGGAAGACGCATGCGCCTTCAAGGCGCGCCCCCCCCCCCCGCCTTCCGCAACGACATGGGGGGCGCCCTCCGTCGTGGAGATGGCGCGGGGGACTTCCCACTCCGACATGAGAATGCGCTTCAAACCACAGCGACAATTCCTGGCAGCGCAGTCTGCTGGGAGTCTGTCGCGGCTGGCCCACGCGCGCATCTGGCCGCTGCGGAAGCCCGCCTGGCAAAGCAGTTCGACAGCCTGGCCCCTCTCGGCAGGCGACGGGAACTCCGCGAAGATGACGGCGTTGAGTTCGACCTCGTTGTAAATCTTGGTGGGCACTGGGGCGTTCAAGGTCCTGAACTAATCCTTCGCCAATTCGATGGTATCCCCCAAGCTGGCCGGCTCGCCCACTTGCCCCATGGCCGCCGCCAGTGCCCGCCTGTCCGCGTGACTCCCCAGTGAAGCCACGGGAACTGATTGAGAGGGGGGCGCGCGCAAGTACTTCTGGACGCATTCGCAGATCTTCGTCGCCAGGCCGTCGTCGTCAATGCCCGCGCACTTCGACGCGTTCTCGATCGTCGCCTCGAGCTTTTCCACCCTTGCGTCAGTCAGGTTGATGCGTTGCTCGAAAGATTCCAGGCGCTCGACCAATGACGCGTTGAGGTCCGTGGTGTCGGCGCCCATCCTGGCGCGCTCCTTCTGTTGTTTCAACGCGGCTGAGGTGACCGGCGCGAGCTGGTGTTTGCGGAGGGTTGTCATGGCTGCCATCGTCGCGGGTTCCTGCGCGGAGATCAAGTCCTCCTCGCCGTCCTCCTCGTCTCCCTACATGCGGACGCAGGGCGATTGCGTGCCTTCTCCCCCCCCATTCCTGCGAGCGAAAACTGCATCTTCTCCCGCGGGGTCGAAAGCACATCGCGAACAGGAGTGCCTGCGACGCGGGCGCGCTTCGGCCCTGTCGTAGGAGGCGCAAAACCGGAGGGCGACATTCTCGCAAGCTCCTCCTCGATGTCCAGGGGAATGCGTCCGCCCGCACTGGGGAAGGCCATCGGGGCGGCAGGGTGAGCCGACAGCCCGACCCCGCACGCGGGTCTCAAAAACCGATCCCAGACGCGGGCCTCAGAAGCCGATCCCGGACGCGAGTCTCAGAACCGAAGATTTGAACCAAGTCTTGAGCCAGCAGACCGACGACAGGAAGGCACTTTGGGCGAGGGCCCATGGGCCAGTGGATACCGCGCTGGGCTGAAGATGTGGCTTCGCGCCCGTTGCGGATATTACGCTGCCCATCAATTGGCTCAGTTGCCGTGCCAGTGTCGGCAGGTCGTGGATGGCAATTGGAAGGGCTACCTGATTCGTATCAGGCATGGTTGTGGGACCAACGTTTCCATGAAAGCATAACTCACTTCGTGAACGGTTGAGGGTGTTCTACTGGCCGACAACGTCGCCACGCGCATAATTCCAGAACTCCCTCCGCCTCCTCCTCCTCCGCCTCCTCCCCATTCATATCCTTCTCATCCACCTTTTTCGAGGCCTCCTCCTCCTCCGCCACTCCCCGTCGGCGCTGCGATTAGAAGTGCCGCAACAGCGGGGGGGAAGAACCTACTGGAACATCTGGAGACGCAATGCGAACCCAACGAAATGCAAGCATCACCGTGCAGTCGCCAAATCATCACAAGTGAACAACAATGCTGACAGCTGCTCAGGGAACCCCTAGTACGCGCTCTTCCCCACGTGGCTGACGTTTCACCGCATGGAGAAATCGAGGGAAGAGGAATCTATGTTTGGCAGCACTAGCGCTGCGCTGCTACCAGCAACTGGATCTACTACTGAAGACGTCCACGCTTTGTGCCATGATCGACGCGATCTCGGCCTTCTACCGTGCCATGCGAGAGCTCGTGCTCCAATTGGGAACCAGAGATGATGACTTGCGCCATTAAGGACAGCCAGACTCCCAGAAGCAGCAGTCGAGGATCTCAAGCAACACGCCGCCAATCACCCTACACTGTTGGAAACGGCAGGGGCGCCCCAACATGTGCGTGTGCTGGTTGCGAACACTTGCCACGAGTCCTGGTTCTGGCGCGCTGGGGCCACGGCTGTTGCTTTCACACTGCCTGGCGGTTCCACAGAATCCACTCGGGGACGTCGTCTTCAACTATGTCATACCCGCGGGCTTCAATGAGGCCCAATCGGGCCTCGGGGGGATGGAACTGGACATCAGGATCCCCGTATGCCTCCACTCAAGCCTCTCATAGCTGTTCCAACAATAGTCTGACCGTATGCAAGAAGTGCTACACGTGTGCTTGTTTGATGGTGGAGTTTCCGCGCTGCTAGGCCCAGCCTTGCACCATATCCAGGCTGCACACCGCATTGCAGAAGTGGTTGCTGCCAGCTTTGTTCGTCGTGGTCTCAGACATAACTGTCTAGCTGGCCAAGCGAAAATATTGCTTCATATGCGCTGGCAAGGAGCTCCAAAGCGAAACGGCAGCTCTGGCATGACACGCAAGGAAAGTTTAACGTTGACCCGCCTCTCCTTGGGCGATGTACACGGTTGGCTGTACGCCACTATCCACACTGGGAAACACAGCTGGACGAACTTGGATTCATAGGACCTGAGCTGGCTCACTGGGAGGCTTCCATACAATCACCAAGCCAACGACTACGACGACGGATATCCGCAGCCGGCAATACCTTACCCAGGATGGCGGCGCTACACCCATGCGGTACACGATTTGCCCCAGCCATCCTGTGGTGGTGGGTGCTCGTTTTGAAGAGACAGCGCACCACGTCCCACCTCCTCTCCTCTCCTCTAAGGCCCACGTGCCAGCTCTCGCATGCGGCCACCTCACCCATTCTGGCACACACACCCCACACGGTTCGTGGCCCCACAGGGGGCTCCACCGAAGGCCCAGATGCCAGAGCTCGACTGCGGCCACCACATCCATTGTGGCACACCCCTCACACGTAACGTGGCCCCATAGGGAGCTCCACCGAAGGCCCAGATGCTAGCACTCGCATGCGGCCGCCGCACCCATTCTGGTACAGCCTTTCACACGTTTCGTGGCCCCATAGGGGGCACCACCGAATGCGGTGCACACAACGACGGTGCCCACAACTGCACATGGTTGGGCCCTTCGCCAGGCTAAGTTTAGACTGCTATTCAATGCAAAAACGTGGCCTACACAAGCGGGATCACAGCATGCACACTTACAACACATCATGTTTAACAACTACAAGCAAGTCATGCGGCTAAAGCAACAGGATGACATGCTACTGGTGATGCATACGGACTTGCGCGAGCGGCGCGCCCCAATGTTCATACGGTACTACGCATACACATAATAAGGCTGCTAGGACGTCTGCTACACCACGGTACACACACTCTACGAAGCCTGGTTGCACATTCGATCGTGTGGCAGTGGCACGGCAGGGCACGTTTTAGATACATCGCATCATCGACGGCCTTGCGTGGCTGCGCAGGGTACATGTGGCATCCAAGGACCTACCAGACCCACAGGACTCCTCAGCGTGGGAGAAGCACATGTTGTGCTCGCTACCTGCATGGTGTCGCAGCTTCAGTTTGGCCATGTAGGCAGAGATCAAGGCGCTCGGACGAGCAGCCATGGTCAAGCATGCCTCCGACCAATCTTCCGAGATGGTCAGTCCAGCAAGGGCCCACCGCCCTATTACTGACCCAGGTCACCCATGATACCCGACTCGAGCAACGGCCCTGGGCTACAACGCATGTGGTGCGGCCACCAAGGTACATCCAGCAAAAGTGTCAGGCAGCATGTTGCACGTACACACTACAGTCAGGTCATCATCGCATCACGATTCATGGGGGAAAGAACTACCTGCATGACTTGTTCAGTTGCCCTTGCCAGCAGGACGTCTCTGAGGGACCACCTGCCCTTCGACGCTCCTCAACGCTGCCTCGCCTATTTGATTCACGGTGCCATCCTCAGCCCGGAGCGTGCCCAAAACTACGAGGGGTTTGCTGCGTCTACTGCGCCGTGTAGAATACAAAGGGCGACAGTGTGTGTGTGTGCTGAACATCTTCTCCGGTCGAGAGAGGAACGGAGACATCTAGACATGGATCGAGCGTGACTTCACCTCAGCAGCGTGTCAGGTAGTGATGCTCAGTGTCGACATCGCCATTAAGAGTGTCCTAGGAGATTCGACACAATGGGAAGAACACATCGTGGCCCGACGTGTGTGGAATACGCGGAAGGCCTGTGAGACGTGGAGCGCCGACAGATGGCTGGAGGGGGGCCCTCACCCACTGCGCACCATCGATTGGTTTGAGAGAATTCCGCAGGTGACAGAGCGTCAGTTGACATAACTTGATGTCGGTAACCAGCTGTTGTGGAGTATTGTGCATTCAACGGCCTGCCACATGGTGACGGGCACGACCGCATGCAAGCCCCAAGCAATTTCTACTGGGATATCAGTCCCATTCTCTCGTGTGTGCAGCTCGAGCGCATTGCCGCCCAGAGAGGGTACGAGGCTCGCCGACGCCGAGCATTTCGGCAGCAGGATGCGCTCGACGAGGACGCGAGGAGGCGGGCCCCGTGGAGGGGCAAGGTCTACTTATAACACGCCTTTCAGCCCGCCCCTCCCGATTTCTTCTCTTAGCCTCCCTGGGCCAAAGTCCCTGGGGAAAGGAGGCTTCAAATGTGACCACGGCACCTCGCCCATGGCATCGTGCCACCACCACGCCTCCGACCTCACTCAATCCTCCTGATCCTCTTTCTTCTACTCCATCCACATTCCACCCATCCCGCACCGCTGCGTAAGCTATCGTGCCAGCTTGCCCAAGGCTCCACACTGCGGCACAATGAGAATGGGCGATCGGCTCTGCGGTCCCGCGCTCTACTCCCAAACCCCCTGGAGTGACGGCTGGCGCCCTGGATTGCGACAGAAACCATAGGGGAGGCCGTGGACGAGGAGAATCTCGAAGGAAGGGGCCTGGGATGAACAACAACTCGGAAGACGAGTCTGCGGTGGCCTTGTCACGGTTAAACTTGTCACTGTCGAAGGCCAAACATGAGGGTTCGTCTCAAGCTGTCCTGTGATGGATTGCGCACACGTCAGATAGGAAAAACTCCGCAGGTCCCTCTATGGCTAGACTGGTTGTGTCCGTGAACGCCCCTCCTCACGATACCCACGAGCTCGCACGAGGAACGGTTCTGTGGTGGATATGTGGATAATCGACTCGTCACGGATCTCGGGCCGTCACCGTGCTACCATAAGGAACGCTGATTCAAAAACGAAGGGGTTGTAGCTGGCCGCTGCGAGCCTCGGCCACGAACACGTCCCCCGACCTACGTCGAAAAAACTGCCCGGAAACCGGCGCCCCTCCTGAGTCAAAACTGGTACAGATTTCAGCGTCTTGGCTGTACCCTTCTCTCGTCCAGGCCAAATTTCGCTCAGAATCAGGCCCGCGATCCCGCCCCGATAGCATGTTGACAAGTTGTTCAAACCGCGCATCATTTCCAAATACGCGGGGCCCCCTGCAGGGAAGTCAGAAGAGCAGCTCGGGAAGGTCGGCGCGAGCGTAAGAGGGAAATCAGGCCGAGTCTGGGTGCCTCATCCTTCATCACCAGGGCGCTGCGCTCCAGCAAACGCATCACCTGGCGCCAACCCAGGCGGGGAAAGGCAACTAGGATGAACAAGGAAAAAAAGGTGTTGGCATCCTTGGTTGAAAAAAAGTCACAGACTCCGGGTCTGGCGATGCGAAACTCTACACACAAGACGTTCCACACATTCACTACAGTGTGCCTTGTTCTCCGTTTCGTTTCCAGTGGGCGTTTGAGAAATCAAGACATCTCCAAAATAGATGGGCCCATCGGAAGCTACAAGACGGCCCCATTAACTCCCGAAACCGTGCAAAAAGTGTACAAGGAGACGATTGTTTTGGATGCGACAGGGCGAAACCAATTGGGGACCTCGCCGCCCATGCACGCACACACGCGCAAACACGGCAAAACCATTGAAGGAAACGTAAATCGTGGAAAGATGTTTGCCTGCGGGTGGAATCCGTGGGACGCGTTGGGGCCAAACTGACTGCAAGATGGCCCCTGATGTTCTAAGATTGACTCCAACGTGGCGCAACGCGTTCCAAGTGGTTTCGGCGCGCTGTCAGCATGCCTCCAGGAACCCCCAAGGTGGCCCCAAGACGACCTCCAAGACGGCACCCAGCGGTCACCGGGTACCCGAAGAGAGTTCAAACTATGCTACAGTCCGATTAATTCCTAAGGTTCGTCGAGCGTTGAATGGTAAGCCGCACCACGCGTTACGCCTAAGGCGTGCAATGGTATCCCATAGATCATCCATAGGAGGTCGTCCAGAGATATACTCGGCCGTTCACAGATAGCACGGCGAACATAGCACAAATCGTGAAAACGAGTTTGACTTATGAAAAATCAGTGTTTTGGATGGAGAACGTTGTTTATCAAACCTGATTTGTGCTATGTTGGTCGCGTTTCGCGCGAATCATCTCGACTCCGCCGGCCAAGGGTATGGAGAGAGAGAAAGAGAGGGAACAAAGAGAAAAGGGGGGTGTATTGGAGAAACCTCGCCCCTCACAGCGCCGCCCCGGCGGCCAGAGAGGGGGGCTCTCCTGATTTGTGCTATGTGAGCCGCGTGCTATGTGAGCCGTTCCGCCGAGACCAAGTCAGGAGGGGGGAGGGGGGAGGGAGGGGGAGGGAGGGAAGGGCTGAGGGAGAGAGCGAGGAGGGGGAAGAGAAGGCGGAGGAAGAGAAAGAGGAGGAGCCACGCTGATGGCCGCAGTCGAGACGAAGAGGAGGAGGTCGAGGAGGAGACACGCGGGACCAACATAGCACAGGTCAGCAGGATTGGGGGCATCGCCCCCAATCCTGCTGACCTGTGTTACGAAGGGGCTAGGAGGAGGAGAAAGAAACGAATGTGCGCGGCGCTCGGGCGAGAACCACATTTTGAAAACCACCCGCCCTTAATCCGTGAAGCTCTTGGAAGTATAAAAACAAAAACGAATGTGCACGGGGCTCAGGCGAGAACCACATGTTGAAAGCCACCCGCCTTCCGTCTGAGAAACTACTGACACTTCTTATGCGTCAGATTCATAAATGGTGGGGAAGTCTCAGGCGAAACGCCCGGCCCGCCCTAAAAACTGGCCTCGGGGTGCGACAGGGCGGATCATGGGGGGGAGGGGCGAGGATAGCACAGCGCGCACATAGCTCAACACAGGGAGCGGGGATAGCACGCACAAACTTGAACAAGGACCGTTCTCGATCTTCCCGGAGCACAAAAAGGCAAAAGTAGCCGAAACAACAAAACACTGGGTTCAGAAAATACGAAGGAACACGGCCTTCGAACATATACCAAACGTCAAACGCGAAGCCCTACGATAACACAAATCGTGTTTTGGCCTGTGCTATCTCAAAACGACCGAATATACGGGGTGGAACAGGGGGATGCGCCATCGAAGGATGTTTGCCGTTTCGAGTGCGATAGTACCTCGGAAGCGATGTGGTCGCACTCTCGGAGGCCAGCCGTCTGATCCAGGCCGTGGCGGGGACAAGCAGGGCGCTCGCTATGCTCGCCGAGCCGCGCCAAGCCTCACTGCGTTAGACACTGCAGCAGAGGGCCAGCCACAGGAAATCCCACCTTGGAGCTGGCGATTCAGCGCGCGCACAAGGAAGCGATCTCGCTACTCCAGCGGAGCAGCAAATCCACCCAAACTAAACAGAGATGCGGCAGGATAGGGAGACCGAGAGAACACCCAGGCGCCAAAGCTTGCAATGTGAAAAACCCATGGCCGGGCAACAATAGGCACGTGGCCACGCCGGCTCTCGTGCTTCATCTGCCAGCCCGATGTGGCCCAGGCTCAGAAGATGCTGCCTGGATGGCCCTGCACAACGCGCGCCGCTTCACCTCGTGCTTAAATCACAATAACGCCATCACATGTAGGAACTACGCAAGATGAGTGCTACCGTTGGTCTGTCCATCGGCAGTCATCACGTGTATCACACCGCGGTATACTATGCGCGATACCTCTTTTCCATCAAATATGGAACCCACTTGGTGCGGCCAAGGAAGGTCCACTACATGCGCTTCTCAAAATCCCTAATCGACGACTCGACGATGACTTGAATCAATTTGACATCCGTGGCAAGTGGTGCCTGGCTGCCTAGACCACCGATGTCGAATGTGTTCTCGAGGTGCGTCGGAGCAAGTAGCCCAGCTTTACTCGCGCACCGTGGCGAAGGCAAGGTAGCAATTGTCAAGATTACGGGCTGCTGCTAGTGTCTCAGCGGAGTATCTAGTGCGTACTTGTAGCCGCTGTGATCTGCAATGCGCATCTGCGCGGCGTGCAACCGCGTTTCCGCTAGGCGTGCGTCCGCGCAGTAGTAGGTTAGCACCTCGGACGGCATGCGCATTTAATTTTCTCGTCGGCGCCGCCGTTACGGCGACGGTAACAGGGGGTCACCGTGAAGGCCCGCCTCTCCTCTAGGAATCATCGTTCGGCATAATCAAGTCTGAGCCTTTTGCAGCTTCCGCGTGTCGCACCTGTCTGTCGGTCGGCTCTTGGGCGCGTTGTAGAGGCCATGCGCATCGCTGGCCGCGCCTGGGTGATCAAGGCGCATGCTGAAGCGCCGCGCAAAGCGAAAGACAATCTTGGACAGTGACCATGTCCGTGTCTGTTGCTTCTGACCCAGTATGATCTGGATGCTGCAGAGGACGAAATGTTGTTGAAATAAGGCCGTCTTGGCCAAGCTGGACGAGGCCGTCCTCGGCCTCGGTGCAGCGCGCGGCGCAGAGTGTATAGCTGTCGGATAGGCGCGCAAGCGCCGAACACACCTTCTACGCATGCGACATACTTGTCAACGGTGTCCTCGACTCTTGCCACAGTGATGTCGTCTGCGCGCTCGGCTCCAATGAGATCCGGACACGTCTCGAACCTTCGTCATATGACGTCCGTCCGAGATCAAAGCCTTCTTCGATGGTCCTGGCCTCCAGCGAGAAAGCCAGGGGCGTCGTTGGTGGTTGTTCCTGGCGGGCTTAATGAAGGCGCCGCAGGCGGCGTCGCGATTCGCCGTGGGGCGCAAAGTCCAGCAGTGGCGCCACCGCCGAAACTGAGCTGGGCGGCGACGCAAAGCAAGCCGCGCATTCTTTTCCACAAGTGGCTGCAGCGAGCTCGCGATAAGCCCGGCCATTCACAAAAACCGCATCTATGTCAATGGTATCAATGATCCACGACATGTCGAACGCGGCCGCCCTTGCGATATGTCTCTGGCTAGCCCGCTTAGCCTTGCCCGAAAAAAAAACAACCCCGCGTCGAAGTCCCGCGAAGCACGATGCGCTGCCTGATAATGCACCACGGTTCACCCTGATCGTGCTAAGCGGATCTCCGCGTGCACGCGTATATCTAAATGTCACGATGTCCGTCGTGTTCTTGAATTTCTGCATTCTTGAACAATTGTTGACAATTCGAATCTTGAGTTCCGTGCAGAGAGATTCCCCAAACAGTGCTTGCGCTTAGGGGTTCTTACTTGGCTCAAGCATATTGGGGTGAATGGCTGCTTTTGCGAGCGGCACCAACATCTGCCGCTGTCACCGTCGCCGCCGCTCGGGGCGAGCGGCGGCTTCAGCGGAAGGCGCCGCCCGCCGCCGCCGCGTCCGTCGCCGTAGGGCGAACGGCAGCGCCGTCGCAAAGGTTCCCCCATGCAGAAGATCCCCCTCCCACATCTCCCCTGGGTTAACGGCGCGCCTTTTCGCTTTGCAATTAACGCGCGAATCTGCCCCATTGATATACGGCATGTCCGTTTCTCAGCTTGAGTAATATATGGCACTGGTAAACAATAAACGTCACGGCATGCATATCCGAGGGCTACCCGATCAGCCCTCCTCGCCGCCGCGTCGAGCTCCCTCGAGCCTCGACCCAGGCGATATCCGGGTTGCTCCAGCGAAGCTGAAAAGAAAAAGTCGCTCGCCTCGCCACGCGCAACCTCACAGAAAACATGCCTGCGCACATGAAATCAGTCGCCTTGACACGGGCGACCTTCGACGAAAATCACGCCTGCACCTCCTCTTTGCCCTCGGGATCGCTTTACTGCGTACTTGATGTCCGGGCGGTCCTCGCTGAAGTAGCTGGCTCGCATGACCAGACTGCGGTAGCGAGTCGCCTCCTCGCCCTCCACCAGCCGACGCGCCTCCGGCCGTGGCCGCGCCCGCCTCCGGGGAGGCCATCGCCCTGTGCGCCCCTTCGGCCCCGGCCGCGCCGCCCCCCCCCCCGGGCTGCGGGGCGGCGCCGCCCCCCCCCGTGGGGCAGGTCGCGGCCCCGGACGTTATTCTGCGCTTTAAAGAAGGTTTCGCAACGCGGGTGCTCCAGAAAGCTTGCGCGCGATATTGCTACTTCTCAAGGAACCATTGGTTCGCATGTTCAGCATGACCACGCAATGCAACCAAACAGGTTCCGCGCGCGCACGTCGAAATCGCTCGAACGCCCCCGCGCGCGCGTTGTCGTGATAATCCCGAACAACAACGGCGCGCGCCGTCGCGCTTGCATGTCGCAATTTGGCAACGGAAAAAACTCTTGGGTTTCGCGAGGGTCCCAAAACCGGAGTGTTCCTAAACCGTATGCAACATCTGG